CCTTCTACCTTCACCCCTTCACCCCAGCCTAAGCTCTACAAACAGTATAAATGTGTACCATTTAGCCTGACTCTTGCTCTTAAGTCATTTCTTGATTTATTGTACAAGTTCCTGTTTGGACACGTGATATTCCCAAGGCCAAGGGAAAGTACAGAATCTAACTATTTGCTGATACGGAGGGCTCTATTCTATCCAGAGCCTAATTCAATCTTTGGCAGAAACATACATTCTTAGCAAGACAAATGAGCTCTTTCAAACTATTAGGAGATCATGTAGAACACTAGAGCTATCAAGGATCTCACAGCAACAATACACTGCTAAATGGCCTATAAGTAGCTTGAAAGAGCCAGTGTCCCTAATTGAGAGACTAAGGCAGAGAAAAGATAAGAAACAACAAGAAGACCCAGACTCCATAGCCCAGCCCTCCTAATGACAATTATGAAGGTGGGGAGTAAAGGAAAATCAAACTCACTGCTAAGCTCATGAATGAAAGATGCCTGTTAGAAACAGAAACATAGTCTCAAAACATAACTGATAGAAAAAAATTAATGGAATTTTATTCAGAATAACACTACAAATGTATGATTATTTTGTGTTAAATGTTACATTTAAATTAAAAAGTGTACAATGGCTGAAATGCAACTTGATTCCCTTTAAGTATCTGATTTACATTAATATGCTGTTGTCTTTCAAATAACAGGAACTAATTAACTGATAAAAATGTAGAATAGAACAAGTGTTCATGTACAATAAAATATAGCCTTAATTTCCATATAAGCTAATTATAAAACATATCTCATAAAATATTCATATTTCTTGGAAGACTAAATGGTAAACCACCTAAACTTTAATTTTCATCTTAGTATAATTCTGTCATCCTGCCAAAAAATAAGTAGTTGTAGAAGAAAAAAGATTACATGCAATCTTCATAATTATATGCAGTCATTTCAACTTTATTAAACAACAGCCATATCCAGGCATAAATAATTTTGCAATGGTTCATAGACTGATGGGAAAAGGGTTATGCATTTCCCTTCTGTGTTCCTCAAAGTTTTTAGTCACACTTTTTAATTCTGATCCTTTTTCTCCTCAATGAAATAGTATACCACATAGTAATTTGTAATCATTTGATTCTTAAATGAGATTTGACAAGTCTTTCTTATTTATAATAGGAGGTGGCAACTAAGCTAATTCCTTTACAAAGAGTAGACATGAAAAACTTTCCTTAAGAGGTAATCACAGATTTTAGATAGATTTTCTAATGCCCAGTGTCCCATAAAAAGACTTGGAGGTGCTTTGTCTTTCTGGTATCATTTTCAAAGCCAGCCTCTTTTAAAATCATAATAAACAGGTGAGTCAACCCACAATGCAACCACATCAGACAAATCTATGGAGAATAGGGGAGAATAAAGGAAAAGCCTTTAAAGGAATATGTTTGATCTCAGGCTAAACTTTTTCTTTTTTTTTTTAAGTAATGATTCTATGTTTACATATTAGGTAAGGTCTTCCTACCGTATTACTGTGCAGAAAAACTCTTATAAATACAGAGGTAACTCAGCTAGGAAATTATTTTAAGCTCACTGAGACCTTTCTATTTATAGTCTATTGATGTTGTGAAATTTAAAAATACGATATTCTGAGTTTTTATTTAATCATGGCCAAGTTAATAAAAAATGAGCAAAAAAAAAGTGAAAAAATAGTAAAGCCAAAAAATTAGCAAAAACAACTCAAATGATCCTTGTTGAGCTTTTTCAAAACCCTTACTTTGATGACACAGACAAGGGTTTAAAAGAAAAACAACAAAGTAATTTAATAATGAGTAATTGAAGCACTAGCAAAAATAGATAAAGAGAAGCATATGTTATATAGTTTGAATATAAACTTTCTTCTCAACTTCCTTGTAGTAAATTATGATGTTTGAGCTATTGAAGGCCACTAGGATGCACTATAATATATTATAGTAAAGAGGCCATTCACTCTTTTAGGTTACCAGATTAATCTGAGTTATTTTCCTTTGGTGAAACAGTGAATATTTTGTTCCTATGTACAATCCCCGCCATAGAGTGATTTACACTAGCAGAAAATTCATTTAAATTATATTTTAGCAACTGCTAAATAATTATACAACATTTTAGCCGAAAAAAATGTGCTGGCAATATGGTAATTCTGATATGCAACATCTATTCCTAAAGAAATTGCTTTAAATACCATTAATGAAAGTTAAGTCTACAAATATTTACTAATTTCTCCCCATAGGGTCAGTCTTATAAACGGACACAAAGCAGAAGAGGCGCTTTTGTTGTTGTTGTTGAGGAGCAGAATACAGTTGAATTGCAAGTGTCTTAAAAGGAGTGTTTTCAAGGCTACACTGTGCATCACAGGGAATAAATCTGAATAGTACTTAAGCTTAACTTCTGCCTGCTCTATCTAGAAGCATTATCACATTTGTGTCCATTTCTAGATCTTTATGGTAGTTGGAAGATTTTACTGCAATGAGTGGAGTGCAGTCATCCTTAAAGGAAAGAGAGCTGAGCCACCTGGTGTCAGTAAGTTCTTTAAAATCAGAATCTCAAGCCTCCTCAATTTAAAAACCACTTTCCAAAGGTGACCCCAGGTTGGCCACTAGGTCATGACACTCTTGACTGATGGTCAATAGGAATTTGGAAGAGATCAGTGGAAGCTGCAAACATATGGGTTTTTAAAAGTTAATTTTCTAAGCCTTTAAGTGCTACCAAATGACCTCCACATGCTTATTTCTACATCTAGAATTACAAATGCCCCTCAAATGGAGATTTACACTTCTCCAAAGTGTTAATGAGTCCTACAAGTCCAAAAGAAAAAAGTATAAGAAGTACAGAGGATGAGGACAAAATAAAAGAGGGTCATTCAGAGATGGGATTCTCAAAGAATTCCATAGTGCTAAGGAAAGGAAAGGAAAATTAACACTGTGTTGCCCTTTCATGTTGCTGCTGACAAATAAATCGTACCTTATTTAAAAACATGATGAATCTCTCTAATTATGCCAAAAGTCTGGTCATCAAAATCTTTTCAGGTTGCTAGCAGGTTAATATAATGAAAACTTCAGCTATGGGGGAAAATCCTAGGATGTTAGAACCGGAAAGCCCGTTAAGGAGATTGTCTAATTTAACCCCATTATTGTACAGACAAGAAAACTAGGCCTCAGACTGATGAGGGCGTTTGCTAGTTACACAGCTAGTCAGGGAGTCGTTGACAGTACAGACCTTCCCAATGTAGAATCTATAAAGACACTGTCTAAATGATCCACTTGTTTCTTTCTTTTAACCCTTTCTCCTCCCAGACACTGCTGGAAGTATTCAGAAACATGTTCCTCTGTGTTCCCACCCATATCGTCTTTCCTTTTCCCATTTCCTCTTACCTAAGGTCAATACCAAGATCCTTGCTTTGGCGCTTCACGATTTCTAAAGAGATGGCTTAAGAACTGGGCATGCTCAGTAGCTGGGTAGCCCCCCCCCCTCCCATTCCCTCCACCCCCTTTTTCTTTTTCACTCAGGCAGAACTTTGGGAGCTCAGAGATCTGCAGCCAGATGAAACCGACGGGAGTGAAGGTGCCTAAGGAACCTCTGCACGTGAATAGTTACAGTGCTCTGGGTAGACACGTAAAAGCTCGCTCCTGTGTAAGAGCGACCCCCTGACAGCAGCTACAGATGGATAATCAACTGCATAGCTGTGGGGCATGTTTAAAGAAGAGCAATGCTTCCTGTTTTTCATTTTTGCAAAGTGGGCGGTCCTGGGGGAAGTAGGAGAAAAATCACATAGGCATTTAAGGGGGGGGGGGAGTGGACTCCCTGAGAGATAAGGAGCGCGAGAAACTTAACTCTGAGTTCAGGTATTGGTGTCCCGGCAGTAATAAAGGACAGGCAAGACGGCCAGGAGCGTCCCACCCACCCTTTCTCCTCCCGCCCCTACGTCTAGAGCTACCCGCCTGCTAGAGGCTGCGGCCACAGGCGGGCAGGAAAATCTCTCCCTGTTCCCGCGCTGGTCCGCCCCGCAGGCCCAGCCTGCATCTCACCCCGGATGGGTCCATAGGGACTCCAGGCTCCGCAGGGCTCTGACACCCTTGGCAGGCGAGGAGGGAGGCGCACGGGGAGCGGAAGAGGAGCCGAAGTGGAGGGGTGGGGGCGGGATGCTGGTACGTACCGAAGAGGCTGTGGTCCTGCCGGGTGCCCTGCACGCTGCCGTCGGGCAGGATCTGCAGGTGGAAGCCGGTGCGGCAGTAGAGCTGACGGCGGCGCAGGATGCCGTGCAGGTGCGCCAGCTCCGCCGCCCCCGGCCCGCCGCGCGCGCCTCGCTCCGCCGCGCCCCTGCGCTCGCCCAGCAGAGGCGGCCGCTCCCCGGCAGGAGGCAGCAGGAAGTGCGAGCCCACCTGCTGGCCCAATCCCTCCAGGCCGCCCAGGAAGCCCCCGACTTCGGCTAAGGGAGCCATGGAGGGGCCAGAAGGAGAGGCGGGGGATCCGGAAAACAAAAGACGCCCCCCACCAATAAAAAGTGTAGCGGGGCGGGGGGGCGGGGGAGATGGATGGAGAGAAAAAAAAAAAAATCACAGCAAAACCAGCGCAAAAAGTTAAGGCCGGATTACTCCTGTGAGGTCGCTGGAGGGACTTGGCACGGGAATAGCGATCTTCTCTCCTAGGTGGGAGCTCGCTGCTGGCTTTGCAGAAACATCTATAGCTGCCGCTGCCCGTGCTGGGGCTGGGGCTGGGGGCTGGGGCTCCAACTCCGCAAACTGATCAGATCAGAGTCCTGTGTACATACACACCGAGTATATATGCGGGTCCTCTTGACATATGCTAATCAAGTCCTTTCATGCGAGCTGGGGAGGTTCTGTTTGAAATCTTAAACCGGCCTCCTCTCAACACGTTTTCGCTCTTCAGAAGTGACCAAAAGGGGCCCTTGACGGTTCTCTATCCATGCCCTCGCAAAAATCATTCCCGCACTTGACCAAAGCTGGCCAGCCACGTCGGGGAGGCGCAGTCTCCTCTCTGGGGTTGTCTTTGGGACAAGGGCGATGCTGTTCGGCCGCTGCTGTGCAACCGCCTTTGATGTGAGCTCCTTTGCAGTGATAGATCGCTGCGAGAAAGGAGCCCAGCTTGGCAGGTATATAGAAGAGGAAAGGGGGGCGGAGGGCGGGCAGGTTGTAGGGAGGGAGACGAGGAGGGGATGGGTAGGAGGAGGAAAAGGAGAGAAAAGGAGGAGAATTGGACTCCTTGGGAGCTGCTGGGAGCCTGCAGTGGACAGGTGCAAAGAAACCAGGTAAGAGAGGGAGAAGGAAAAAGGGCGTTACCTGAGGCTTAGACCTGCCCAGACACACATGAAAGGAAAATCAAAGCTTTGACAGTTTAACTCACTAATTTTAAAACACTAATAAAATGTACAAGCATTACTCTTTTCTTTTATCATTTAGATGGGGATTTTCTTTACATAATCAAGGCTAGGTTAGGAAAACCCTCCCCTCCCCCAGTTCTCTTTAATGTTTATCTTTACTTAGATAGCACATGATATAACCAAGATTGCCATATATACATATACATGTATGTATGTATATATATATGAAAATTCTAAATTATTTGTTAAGGTCATGAGCTTTTAATTAGCATAATATAATAATATAATCGTGAATCAAAGTATTTAAGGTAAATCCAAATAGGCTAAAAGAAATGATTTATATTCTTTTAATTTGCCATGAATAGAAAATGAGTATCTGGAATAGTGTCATCAATGATAAGTGGCCTCTGGGGTCCTAATACAGTCCAAGAGCACTTCCTTGTTTTTCTTAGTTGTATTTTCTTAAAGGCTAGGTTTTGGTTTTTTTTTTTTTTTTGGTTCACATTTTAATTATAAAATCTAAAAACAACAATGGAAATAGTGTTGATTCTTGATACATTTTGAGACTTCAAAAGTTACTCACAAAATTTAAGTGTGCCTGTGCATATTTTAAAATAAAAAGTCATTGACACGAAGTTAGATATATGTCCATTTAAACCTTGAAGCTTTGGATGTGTATCATTCGTTAAATTCGAGATCTTTCTGTTAAAATTTTTCAGTGACAGAAGAGTTGAGAATCATTTAGCAGATTTATGCTCCCCTGAGTAAAAAGTTTTAGGGACTCATTGAAGATTAGTTGTTCAGTCTTATTTCATGGTCTGTTCAGCAAAAGCCTAAACCTGGGAGCTCAGTTGGATTTGACTGGTTTATTTTATTTGCTCTGAAGGGGTTTTTTTCTAATTAATTGGCAGGTGCTTTAAAGTGGGTATAGTTACACCTTTTCATCACTAGGGGCCTAAGTACTGACCCTTGTGCAACCAAGTTATAAAAGAGTCCTCAAAGCAAGTGATTTACTGTTGATAGATATGAAATAAAACAAAAACACTGGCTAAAACAATAAACAGATACATCACTTTAGAAACGTATATTGCTAAGTCTGTTTTAAAAGTCATTCCAGGTAAATGTTATATTATTTCACCTTTCAAATAACAGCAGTCTGTCTTGTGGTAGGACCCCCAAATCCACCATAATCAAGATTTCAAAGCACATCTGTGTAAACATTATCACATCAGTATAAAACATCAACCAATGAGCTTTTACTTTGAACCAAATCTTCTTAATTGCAGTGTTAAATCAAAGAAAGTTAGATCAAAGTTATGTGAATCTCATAGCGGGATAACTAAAGTAGCCAGTACATGCATTGATCACTTTTAAAGAGGAGATACTTAAAGGTTTTAAACTTAGATCAAGTGCCTTTTAATGAGGTTTGTTTCAAGGTCTAAGTTCTGTGTAACATATAATGCTGTTAATTATTCCACAATGGATATGTATTATCATCACCTGCTCCTAGAGGTACTAGTTCAGTCTATATTTCCCCATGTGAACCTTTAAGTCCTGCTGTGTGATCTATAGCTCCAGACTGTTCAAATCTCTTATATTGCTTATATATGGCAAATTTTTCTCGCATAGTCATGAAAGCTAAAATATTGTAATAATAGAGCTACCTCATCTTTGTACACCTTAGCTTTTGCATGTGCATTACATTGTTTGATTGTCACAATAACCCTATGAGATAGACACATCCTGCTTTATAGAGAAAAAAATTGTCCTAGATTCTAGTTCGTTGGTCGATGTTAAAGCTCAACATCACAGGGCAATTTCCTTAAACTCTGTAAATATCTGTTTCCTCATTTATAAAATAAGGACAAGTGACTCCTGCCTAGTTCACTATGCCTGGGGTTGCTATGAGGTGAAAATGTGAAAATATATAGGAAGATGATTTCAAAACTACAAAGTTTTCTATATATATAACACGCTAGACAACTTCAGTTGCAAGAATGTCTGCTTTATAATTTAGCAAATATAACATGCTTGAAATACAAAATAAATCTTTTTTTCTCAAACCAAATCTTTAATGTGAAAGTTTTGAATGGTGCTTATTGCCATTTTATAAAGGACCAGAATAGAAACAAAAAGATAAGGATTTCTTTTGTTTGCACTAGTCACGTGACAGGAAAAGATAACACTAAAGTTTTTTTTTTTTTGCCCATGCTGTGATGATATCATGGGAAGTTAAATAATTTTGAAGAGTGTTTTACAAGAGTGCATTATTCAACTTTTAAGTATACACTGCAATCTAATCAACTCTACCTATGCTTCCTAGAGACCACACTTGCCCTGCTGTTATACAAATATGTGGTACAACTTTTACTTCCACAAAATGTAGTCACAGTTTTCCAGACTATATAATCCCTACATAGCTTTCTAGTCTGCGTATTGTCATGAATCTTTGTTTTTACACACAAGAAAAGAATTAATAATTTTTGATGCCTCCACATGTGTTTAACTTGAGGAAAAGAAATAGAGCTAATTTTAAAGTCATGTCTTATGCCCACAATAAAATAGAAGTATGTTTTCATAACATTATTTATGATTTGTAATTACAAAATATTGGCAACAGCATAAGTTTTCATACATAGGAAACAGAATAAATTATGTGCATTCACACAACGAAGAATTATACAGCTGAAAACAAAAGACTGAGAAAAATCTCTATGAACTAACATGGAGTATGTCTAGGATATATTGTTAAATGAAAATGGCAAAGTGCAAAAGGGTATATATATGGCATGTTACGTTTTCTGTAAGAAAAAAGAAAAATGAGAAACTTCTACATATATGTTTATTTTTTCAAAAAGTAAACACAGAATTGATAAACCAAAAACGAATGAACATGGTTACCTGGTTAATTGGGGGGATGAATGTGAATGGAATGGAATGGAAGGAATGGAGGAGTGATACTTCTCTAAGAACTTGTTTTAGAGTTTTTACTTTGGGATAAATGTCAATGTCTTACATTTTTTAAAAGTAAAATTAAAGAATCAAGGATGGGGAGAATGGATATAGCCAGGAAGAAATGAACCTAGCAGTATTCAAGTGAATAATGTAACCACACAGAAGAGAACAATAATAGTATTTTTTTAAAAAAAGAAACCCACATAACTGTCGAATAGAGTTTTTTAGTGATATTATCAAGGTCTAAAGATAAACACACACACACACACACACACAAATACACACAAACAAACATTGAGCTTCAGTGAGAAAGATCCTTATCTTTAGTGGCAGGAGTTAGAGTGGTGTATTATAGGTTGAACAAATGAATCAATATATTGAGGATAATAAGACCTATGGGTTTCATTAACAAAAAATAGAGTTCAAATATGAAAAGAGGGAAGACTACAATTAATCCTTTAGTGCTGAATTGGAATTTCAGCTCTCAAGCTCTCGTATTAATAGATGGTGCCTGTGTGTGTGTGTGTGTGTGTGTGTGTGTGTGTGTGTGTGTGTTTTCATTAAAAGAGCCTAGAAGCAAACATACTTCAGGGAAATGAGCACACCTAGTGCCTAGATCTTGGTTTCTCAATTCAATCTCCTATTAAAATGGCCCAGGGAACCTTGGAGAAATGGCTGATTCCAGGACTGGGGCAAGGATGTACTCAGGAAAATGATGAGGACATGTCCAAGGAACATAACAAATCTGGGACAATTTGAGCATCAGAGTAAATAATGATAGGAACAAGATATTTATTAAATAAAACAAGAATATTTGAGTGTAACTGTTTAAGTACTCAACCTATCAAACAAATGAATACATAAGGGAGAAGAGAAAAATTTCCCTGATAGTAGAATACTAATAGATATTGAAATAATGATGAAATTAGAAAATGACCATTTTGCATCCATCATAAGATTATTGCTAGTCCAGGCAAAATTACCAATGCATGCTAAAGCTAGTGGGTAAAAGTTTGATGAAGAGCCATGAGTACAAAGAGAAATAGTAACTTTATAGTGGTTGAATCTAATGAACACAATATTTTCTTAATTATGTAATAATAGTAAACAACATTAATGAGACAAATTAACACCATGTACCTCTTGGTACTCTATGAGGTATATAATGTTATTTACTTATTCTGTCAAAAATGCGTAACCTGAATGTAGTCATGAAGAAACATCAGATAAACCCTACCTGAGGGACATTCTACAACTGGCCTGTTCTCTTCTAAGGTGGATGTCAAAATCAAGCAAGACAAAGAAAGGTTAAAAAATTTAAAGGCTACTAAAGAGACATGAGAACTAAATATGATGTATGATCCTGGTATGAAGCCTGAACCAGAGACAAACAAAACCATAAGGGACATTATTGAAACAACTGACAAAATTTGAATATAGACCATGAATTAGATAACAGCATTGCATCTCTTTTAAATTTCCTAATTTTGACAATTGAACTGTGGTTATATAAAGTCTTAGGAAATACAAAATAAAACTTTCTGGGTAAAAAGTTATGATGTCATCAAAATTATTTTCTACTGGTTTGGACAAATGTATATACACTTACTTGCAGAAAGAGAGAGAGAGAACAGATGATTGGGCAAATGGGGTGAAATGCTAACAATTGAAAAATGTGGAGTTCTCTATACTAGTCTTGCAACTTTTCTGTAAGCATGAAATTATATCTAAATAAAAGATTTAGGTAACTTTTTAGCAGTCATAACTTAGAAATTAGATGCACTTTAATATAGGAGAGAAAATCTAACTTCAACAGCTATGATGTATGATAATTGAGATAAATCAGAGTTTCTG